TTTTCCAATTATGAAATATTTACTGTAAATAGTCCTATTGTGGAACTATACGACTACGATTTTTCTTTTCTTTCCTCTTTTTTTTTTCTCTCTCGAATTCCGTAATTTTTCTTTTATCTCGGTGGCAAAGAGATCGTTCCAAACATTTTCTCTAATAACACTTTCGGGTTAGGCATCGTTTCTTAAGCTTTTCTTCGCCATTCAACCATCGAGAAGCGAGAAGATCGACGCCTCTGTCTCTGCTTCCCGAACGATTAGCCATTTCTCTTTTCTCGGAGACGTTTTAAGCGCGGCGGGGGGCTGCCGCAACGAAAAATCACCCGAGCAAAAAGAGAAAGAATGCTCGTTCCTCGTTCGAGGAAACCGGTGGAGGCCGTTTCCCTGGATTCAATGATTTTATTGCTTGTCGATAGATTTATCTTGTCCCGGAGTGACGGACAACGCGGATTAGGAATTATAGGGCGAGGAAGAAGCGTGGAATCAGTGGTTCGGTATAAAAGATGTGTCGTAAATCAGAGGGCGCCGTGATCGATGAAACAGTGTAAGGAAGCGTAATGTATCGCTGAGCGCATTTTTTTCACGTTACGTCGCGTATAGGAATCTTACGATAGAGGAATACAATTGAAATTCGCGGAAATATTCTGATTCGTTGATAAAATATTTTTCACCGAAACGAAATGTAATAAGATAGGATTAAATCCTTATCTCGAGGTGATATTTTTTACACGAAAGAAAGCTCCTCGTGCTTTCGAAAATTAGTCATCGCAATTTTTATTGCACAATCTATATATATATGTACATGTAGTGTGTACATGTAGATTTATTTTAAACTGACATTTCTACATGAAATTAAATAATTTTTGTTAAAATCTTTTTAATAAATAAATATAATATCGTATATAAAAGATGCGTCATAGAGATAATTTCTATTATTTAGGAAGAATGAAGAATTTTAAGTGATAAATAAGAATCTACAACGTTATTAAAATAACTCTGCTCTCGAAATTTCTCGATTAAATTGTAAGACGATATAATTAAAGGAAGATTAAGCTTTTGAGACCACTTATCGAGGTGTGGTGTGGGTCATGTTTGACCCAACCATCGCACGACCTGTACTTCGTTAATGAAGAATCACGATAGGATCGTTATTAATTTCGATTTTGTTTATTATCCGTTTAGATTTATTATTAAAAGATAAAAATGTGCCGAGAATATGGCGCGATTAAATATCGTGGCGTGGATAATCGAATATGCGACAGAAAAACGATAGGTATTTTGTTACGTAACCCCATTGGATTCCATCGTGTAATTAGAGATGAGCGAACACTGATCCTTGTATTTCAATTCTATCTGCGAACCTTAAATTATCGATGGAACGAACGAGCAACGTTCTTTAATGCGATTGAACTTCTCTTTTCTTTTTTTTTTTTTTATTTCGTTACACTATTTCGAAGCGTTCAAAACACTTTAATGCAAATAAAATCAAATAATTAATCTTGTGCAACTTTTGTTCTAATTCAAATATGTATTTACATAGCTGCCACTAGGTGGCTACATCCAGATATCCTTTATCGAGTATATACTTTTTTGATCGTAACGTTATTTTCGTTCCCACTCTTGCTTTTTTTCAACTTAAATCATTAAAATTTTGCGTTAATTGTATAAAAATATCGAGTAATGATATTGTTACATTTAATAAAACGTCGTATTATAAATCAGGAAAAAGAAGAATCAGATATTGATGAACAAAGGATGTATGCAGGTATCGTAATTTTGAAGTATTAAGTTAGGTTAGATTAGTGAAAACTGATTTTTTATACCATTAGATATATTCATATTGCGTGTAAAATATGCGTGTTTTAATCACGATTCTCTATCATATCTATATCGAAAATGTACCTTACGAGATCATGATTTTTTGAATTC